TTGAAGAAATGTATGACTAATTCATAAAATGTTAACTCTAAAACCAACAGAATAATGTTCGATTCTATGAGTTTATAGTAATAATATGCATAATACATATGAGAGGATTTAATTGTCTCATAACACTATATATGTACATAAACATTACTGAATTATTTCTCTCTTACCATGTTCTCAAATAAAATGACAAAGAATATTGTTTAAAAAAAAAGAATACACAATTCATGAACACAAAATTTAACAATATGTCCTCATGTATACACGTTGGTATGTATTCATTAAAAATTCAAGTATGATTATTCAAGTTCTTTTAATGTAAAAAATAATTATGCTTAATTTCATTAGATTACTCTAAATTTCTAGAATTAAAAATAGATAAACTTGAAATTTCTCTGTTAAATTTTAACCGGTATCATGTTGAATAAATTAACAAGAGTTTGAATACAATGATTTAGCAAAATATTAAAAATCAAGGTTTTGAAAATATTACACTTTTGGGAAATGGAAACTAACAAGATTAGCATTGATAAATCAGACAACCACTGATAACCAGCTGTGGATGAAGATCATGAATAGTTCAACGATGAGTTGGTTGATGATTATTGAGTTTTCTTCAAGACATGAGTCTGTACAGATTGGTAGTTGTGCACTGTTCTTAATATATCCTAAGCTATAGTGAAACTGTGATTTAATTTCCAATGGTTCTGTAGTTTCAATTAGTTTAAAATGAATGGCATCTTTTAACTATTACGGTTCTTTAAAAATCAGACGTAATTTTACTCCAACTATCTGTATAGTTGTAGTTACAATGAATTTAATCACTAACCTATATACTATGTAGAGTTAATTTCTTCTTCTATACAAGATGATAATACAGTATAGCCATGGTTATATGTACAAGCTTTTAAGTGCATATGCACGTGTTTATTTGTACATGATAAAAATAATAACAATTTCTGATGACTCATACATATCCCCAAATAAAACAAAGTTGTAAACCATTAAGTCAACAAAATAATACAAGTTAAAATTAACAAAGAAGGAAAAATATCAATAATAACTATAATATAATAGCGGTAGCGATAATAATTAACATAATTATTATGTAGACAATAAATAGCCTAGTTGGTATGTGATAATAACATGGGGAGGAGTAAACACTAATTCTTGTTTTATTCACCAGAATAAGTAATCATTTTAGTCACATTTTCATGATACAAAGTATAAGAAACATCTGTGTCGTTTCTAGTTAGTGTAGACGAACACGAAGCAGCTGCTTATAATATATACATATATACCATATCACTTCAAATCCAATAAGAAATAATAAATTTCAGTCTCATTCTCATCGAAAACCGAGCGAATACGTAGATCATTTATAAGCTAACATCAGTAGTGAAGTGCTTGTATTATAATTTTTATGTTTTGTAGTTGATGTAACGCCAAACCACTGTACTAATGACACCCGAACGTTAGACCCATCCGTTCAAAAATAAGAAGACGGAAGACGTTGAAGAATGCTTATTGTCAGAATCAACAATACGTAGATCATTTATAAGCTAACATCAGTAGTGAAGTGCTTGCATTATAATAAAGTTCCCTCATATAGTTTGAGACAATTTCTAAACAGGAAGATTACCGACATATTTAAGAATTGAATCTAAATAATCTAAAACAACTATTACTAATTGATAACTTCAGAAAATTTTGAAAATTATCATCTTTTGGAATTCATTAAATGTTCCATAAGTAATGTTTACTCTTTGGACCGTGGAGTAAGCAATGTTCGGGTTGAGAAAAGGGTATTAAATAAGGATGGTAAATCAATTTGATTGCTAATTTTTATCAATAAATTATATTTTAATTGTCAGCATTGAGTTGTATACATTGTTCAATTTAATCTAAATTTAAAAATTAGTGATTTGCGCCTGAGACCGAAAATTCTAGGGATTGACTCCTGGTTATGAAGTCATAGATATCTATCTATCTGAAAAGTTCCATACTTGGACGAAATGGCCATCCAGTACTACCAGCATTTCAATAATTATTTAACTTAGATCCATTTATGATTTCGAATAGACTGTTATTTTTTCATGAAGATAATCGAAAGTTTTTGATCATCAATGATTTACTACTCATCACTTTTTCGGTATTTATTTTGTTGAAACAGGAAAACAACTTCCTCAGTTAATGAATAGGAAACTAGATCAACTTATTCCATTTGATATTAAGATATTTAGGGAAAAAAACATCAAACTTTAAAAAACAAACACAGCTTGCTATGAACTGCCTTTATTGTTAATTCTGTAATATTCCCATTGTTCTTACTTGATCTAAGATATTGTTAGTACTGTTTTACAATTTATTAATCTTGTTAATTTGGAATAAGAGCAGAAAGGATAATAGTTGAAATTTTTAGATATTCTAATATTAATCACCCATTACCATACATAGATTTGGATGTAATATATTACCGTGAGTACAGTAATTTAAACCTCTAAAGAGCTAGATTATAATCAGGTAAACGTATATAAATACAATTAATCTATGAGATAATTCTATCATACCATTCAATGTCAGTTAGTGCATTAATCGTAGCCTAGTTAAATAGACGAATCACATCTTTCTAAAACATTATAGTGAGAAAACAAAATTTAACTATTACAAATATGTAATTTTACAGAATAGACTGTCACTAGCTAGGCATCCATTGAAAACTTGTTACATTTTAGCTTTTTCAGGTCCCAGGGTCAATCGCCGGCAGCTTCGTGAATGCATACAATGATGAAACAGTTGTCCAATACTATAAAAAGAAACTTTTTTATGCCGACGAATACAAATTAAATTTTTGTGTGTTTATGAATCATAATAATATGCTTAAAATTTGATTGTCTGTTCATTAGAACTTAGTTCTTTTAAAGTGGTTAGTATACAAACTAAATTGAAAAATTCAAGACGGTAAACAAAATGCTCTGTCCATTTTCTTGTCTAACAATAAGAGGCATTCTTGTTGTAAAAATAGTATAAAACTGAATTTATGAACATTTATGTTTGATTTGTTAGTAAAAATACATTTTATGAATTTTATTTGTTAAAAACAAAAAAAAATAGAAAAGTGGAAATGATGTAGACAAAATTCTAGAAAAGTATCACAATGCAATGATTCAGCAAGTGTCAAGAATGTAAAAATTATTAGAAAAAATTCCTACTAGAAAAACAAAAGACAATGTGGATAATTTCAAGCAAACCGGATAATCCTCAATAAACCAAATACTGAGACTGCTTTTTCTGTTTTAATGCCAAACATTACTGATGCACTTGTAAAATAGTCAAGTAAATGAACATTTATGAGGAAGTATGTAAGCACATTTGACTCATTGCTTTAAATGATGAATCTAGTCATATGATATTGTTAACATATCTAGGTTAATTTTAACTCAACATCCCAATATACTTTAGAATACTTTAGTTACACATATATATTATGTTTAGCCAACAAAAATTCTTTCATCATTGATCCATTTCAATACACCAAATGACTCATATATATATACACTAGTTTTTGGGGCTAAGGATAGGAAAGGATATTTTAAACCACACCCTAATCTACCTATATACATATGACAAGCAAAATTACCACAATGTATACTTAGAGATAATTATAAATTAATTAGAAAAAAAAAATGCAAGTATAAACTGAGGTTATAGAATTAAGAAATTAAAAGGTAACACCCAAAATCCAAACATTATAGTGTCTAGATACGTTCATGTTGTTCTATACGGATTTCTCATAACTGTTGGGGGTAGCAGTCAGTTGAGTTGTGCAAGAAAAAGACAATAATAACATTGAATAAAGTTTATAATTAAAGATTTGAATTATGATGCTATTGATATATATATATATATATATAGGGAATTGAAATTTGATCAGTCCTAGTTGATACACATGCATCATTAATGAATTACTACTTTGATATGGTTATTTGTCATAAGTTTTTATAGAACAGATGGTTTATGGCTAACAGTGGAATAACAGATGTGAGATTCGTTCTATTTTGAATTCATCGACTAGATAAACTTGCATCCAAGTTTTGATTCGCATACCTGGATTCTATCACAGTACCGTTTACTGATAATAGCAACCCGTTATCCACTGAGTGACTGAGTGCAGATAGCCACTGACCTGTTCAAAGTTTATGATATTTATACTATTATTAGTAAGTATTTGAATTTCCCGGTTATTAACATTGAGGACTGAAATCGCATCTGTCTCAGTAAGACGAAACACTTGTTCTGGATCTCACTGATGACTACAGTTCATTTGTCAAATATAAAAGATAGCTTTTGTTATGAACTGACCACAGCTTTAATAACTTACCATATTTAAGTTAATTGGTGATAATATGACATGGAATCATTTAAAATATCATGGTACAACTTTTAAAATCATAAACTTCTCGTAATAAGATCTATTTAGAAAATGTACCTTTTCACATGGTCAGTTTTCATTCTCAATGGTAAACTGCCCAAAAAGGTTACATGAATCTTGCAATCACTTAAATTAATATAGTTTATAAAGCCAAGTAATGACCACTGACTTATCAATTTTACTCACTTAACAGTATTCAGTAAACAAATGTCAGAAGACATTATAATTGGTCAGTTGTAATAAACAGTTCATATTCATTCATATTCACTGTATCATACGTTTCGTGATGAAATATCACTGATTGATAATTATGAAATTTGTAGCTTATTAATGAACCTGTATAATTAAGGTCTGAGTATCATATCCACACATATGATTAATAATCACTAAAACTTAATGTCCATTTCTAAATTACACTTTGAAAAATATTAACAGAGGAAAACAGAGAAAATGTACAACTTCATTTTATAGTTCAGTAAAAAGTCAAAAAATAAATAATAACAACAACAAAATAATGCAACTTGAACGAATGAAGTAATTGATCAATCATGTACTAAATTAACAAACTTACCAGAATCTGGTATTTTACTGACTAGAACAATATTTGGAGGACGAATTGTAATAACTTCTTGTAAAACTTCCTACAATATAAGGATAGAAAGAGAGAGAGACAGAGCAAGAGTTAAAAGTGAAAAGTTGAACATTTAAATTAAACGATTTGTTTATACGAAGAAAACAAAATTAATTCATTAAAATCAAACAGTTAGGTTACTTTATCAACAAATTAACATCAGTAGATGATCAAGTCAAATTGTTTTAATGTTAAATTGTTTGCATATTTCAAAGATAGTTTTACCATTAATTCTTATCAACTGTAGAATCATTGGGAACTAAGATATAATAAGAGTAGCTGTTTCACTTTTAATTTAAAACGTAACTGTAGTAAACAGATAAGAACACATTCACAATTGAATTTGTAATCTTTGAGTTGCTTATAACACATTTCAATAGAGGATTACAATAAGATATTTCTAAAAATATATCTAATACTTTCATGTTATTTATGAATTCCCTAGTTTGCATTAAGTTATTCTGAAAGTAATCGTTAAATTAAAAAAAAACTTTGTTAAAAAACTCATGGAAGTTAAACAGCAGTTCAATATCTAAATACTTGAAATGATCTGATTATTTAGTCTTTCAACTAACGAACATTTTATTTAATAAATAGTTGAATTTTTCCTATTGTTAAGAAGTGACATGAAACCTTGTAACTTTGAACTAAGCAGTTTTTTGAACGTTGTCAAAAAAGTCCACAGCTCATCAAAAATTAGGAATTTAAAAAAATATTTTCAGGATGTTGATTGATCGATTTACAAATAAATCACACAAAAACGAAATCAGATGATAAAACTTCTCAAAATCTGAGGAAAAAAGGATAAGCGCCTCATTATTCAAAACAGTCATGCAAATCGTAAAAAATAATTTGTTCAATTTTCTGTTTAATTTATCCTCAATTTATTAATCATACTGAATAGCATAAAAGATGTAAATTTTCCTCAATGAGCAAGCAATACAAGAAAAAGAATTTCTAAACTGAATTATTATTGAGTCATTCGTTAAGAGTTTTGAAAAGAAAAGAAACAATTGAATAGGTCCCTATGATTCCTTGAAACTGATGAGTGGGAATCACCCACAAATGATTGTTTTGTTGATTGCGATGATACAAATTGGAGATCAATATATTTACACATCCAGCGTACTACTTAATACTTTTCATAAGTAGGTTAAATTATTTAACCAAAATTAAAAATACCCATTAACAATCAATTATAAATGATGATTATTATATATGGTTATTGGTAGTAAGTCGACTAACAACATTTAAAGGAGACGATATAGTTAGGACATTAAAACCACTTAAAATTAATCTTACAGTGTAAACACATATTTACAATGTAATTGTTTCTCATTTTATTATAAAGATTAATTGATCTGAAGTTCAAAATATGCAGTATATATTGACAATTAAGCTTCAGTACACATACAGGCATAAATACAAAACAAAGTCGATATAAATCTTTCGTTGTGCATTTGTTTGTTCTTTTAATTATTGGTTAGTAAACAATTATTTTATTTTATTGCAAAAAGAGTATTTTTTGTGATAAATCAATAATTCTTTTAATTAGACAACTTTAAGGTCAGAAGTGTTTCTGGTAGTTCACCAAATAAAAAAAGTTGGAAAACTGAAAAAAGATGTCAATTATTCCATAGTTCAAGTTTTTGACGAGAAGCAGAATAAAATTCGTAAGAAAATAAACTTATTGACTAATGCTTCTTGATATTTCATGGTTTGATAGTTGGTAGCAATGAACAACGATTGCATTTTCGATTATTCGTGATATCAAGATGAATTACAACAGAGATGAGTCAAAATGCCTACGATGTCAATTATGAAACTGACTACTGATGTGGTATCTATTAATTTTTTTTAAACGCCATTTTTGCACATTCTATGAGTCGAAGATTCCGATTTCCCGTCAAATAATTTGAGTTGAAAGTTTAAATGATAGTCTCTCATCCATTAAAATGGGAAAATTACTGGAAACTGTTTCCATTGTTTTAATGAGGGACATTTGAAAATCACCTATAAAATAAAAGCTTCTCTCAAAAAATAATTGTGATCCAATGGGCAATTGTTATTTTATGTAATTTATCTAATGTTACCATATGATTAATAAGTTATAGACGAGTGTCATAAAAACTCATGCTTGGGTCATTGTTTTATGATATTTCAGGTGTGTAATTTAATTATTTTACATTGATCAGATAATTGAAAAAAAATGAACAGGAAAATTGTAAGAAATAATTTGTTGTAAGTCTTTCTGACTGATCAACATTATTTTTATGCCATCACAATTTGAACAAAATTAATGCAATGACAAAGTTCTCAGCTTTAAGCAATATTTTTTGTGAGAATGTAAGTATCCCTGCCTAGCTATGAAGAAAATGTGATAAACGGAAGTATCCATACATAAAAATCATGTAGCCATTGTTGTAAATGACTATATCCAGCACGAATTTCTGAGTTGTTTGTCATAAAGAAAAATCACCTAAATTGTTGGATTTTTCGTAAGTAGACTGACGGATTTATATTACGCATTTTACCCCACGTCGAACATAAGCCATCTACTGTTATTCTCCAACCTACTCAGTCCTGGGCCTTCCTTTCCAGTTCTACGTAATTGTTGCCTATTTTTTTCATGTCTGCTTCTGATTCTTGGTGTGATGTTATTTGACGTTCGTCCTTGAGGATTCCAAGTTAGGGCTTGTGTTTGTGAAGCAGTTGGGTGCTTTCTTCACCGTACGTCCTATCTACTTCCAGCACTTTTTCTTTATTTCTTTCTCAGCTGGAATCTGATTTTTTCTCTTCTACAACAGGTTGCTGCTGATGGTGTCTGACCAACGGATCCGAAGTATCTTCCGTAGACAACTGTTAGTAAACACTTATTTCTTGTGGGTGGCTTTCGTCGTTCACCGAATTGCCGCTCCATATAGTAGAACTGTCTCAGCGCCTGGAACCCTTTACTGATAGTTCTAAGCCCGGTTAAATGAGGAAGGTTAGGCATCGGGGTTGGCGACCCCATCCCGAAGAAAAGCAACTCACTAAACAAACGCTAACCAGAAAAAGATTTTTCGTTAAGAACTGAAGTCTGATATTAGAAATTAAAACATTCAGACCTAAAAATGAGTGGTCTATGCGATAGCATAAGATTTAGACCACCACGACAACTATAAATGTAAATATTTACATAATTTCTAATGTCTGTCTAATGTCTTCTGTCATTTGTGAATAAAAATATTTATTTATACATGGAAATTAAGACTACATTAACATGAATATGATTGGCTGAAAATCATTAAAGGTCATATTTATGTTAGAATAAAGGTCATGGCATAATAAATATCCATGTCTATTGGTATTCCTTGGGAATTCAAATGAAGGTGCCAATGTCGCTTCATTACTATGTAAAAAAAATATTGTGATAACTTTATAAATGAAACTGTTCATTTTACCAACCTTTAAAAAAAAATAAAATTAAATACTAGCTAGTGGGATTTAGATATCTGCACTTGCTTTATATCCTTCATTTTAAAATCTAGATACAGTGGTATTCTTTGTTCGAAAAAGTATGATTCATTGATGGTGGAAACAATAGAAAATTAAAAATGGCAGAAAGTTATCCAACAGTAAATTGGATAAAACACCTGCAACAATGAATGATTGAATGAATGAATGAACGAATGATAATTTTATGGTCATTTTGTGTGTGCGTATGTGTGTGTGTGTTTGATAATAAAACAGGCAGATCTCTACACACACACACACACAAAATGAAAGAAAAGACTAGACGATTTAAAACTAAGTCTCTTAACATTCATAATTCGAATAGATTTTTCATTGTAAATAGAGTTAAGAGTCTATATGTGCACACATGTAGGTCTAAACACGTATATAAAATAATTCTATATTGCATTGTTTGTAAGAAGATGTGCACTGTTATTTGACATAGTATTTATGGTACAACGTCTTAATAACGCCGTTTATTGTCGAACTATAAAGAAAAAATTATCTCATTGTGAATGTTTACGACTATTCAGAATACATGTTATTATTTATATCAAGATAAAACTTTGTGATAATTCCAATGAATTATTAAAAGCTTAAAAAATTCTATTAACTTTTATCTTTTGATATCTGATATGTTACTAAGTTATTAAATTACAGTTGGAATTCAACAAACTTATATATTTCAATTCACTTTTGAATACATTGTAATAGATTAAAAATATATTGTTAACTTAAACACTTGATTTTTTAAATTGAATCGATCATTAGTAAGCTAACAGTAGAAACCTGGAAGCACAGAAAGGCCGTTTCGTCCTAGCATGGGATTCATCAGCAGTGTACATCCACGACACTCATTCATAGGAATCGAACCCATGATCTTCGGTTTCGCGAGAGGATGTTTAATCTCTAGACGCATGAGCCGGCATCCAACAGTGTTCATGTCTAACCTTGATCAATCTAAGGTTTTGCGCAACGTCACCCAATATCTTATCTAATTACTGCCTACATGTAACAGGATTGAGGCTCCGAGAATTTTTCACGAAACTAGTCAACATAATGAGTGCACTAGTGATTTTATCATAAATTAACATAAATCAAGAAATTATTAAAAGTTATTAAAAGATTAGTTTTATAATAGTTTATTTTAACTCTAAGATAACATAATAATATGTACTCATCAATACATTTATGAGTTGTTTGAATTAAATATTCTTTTGAATATATAATCTGATTGTAACGGTTTATTATATATGATATGATACAGAATGTTAGTAGTTTTCATTCACAGTACATTGAGGACTGCAATTACTAGATTACTTTGCAATTTAAACATACAAATATATTACAGATTATAAACATTTAATACAAACAAAATACAGAAACAATTTATTCTTGACAAATTATCACTTATACTGTTTTACAAATGCATGAACCATGTAGTAAATTCTTATTAACAATTTATTGAAGCAGAAGTATAGGGGTAGTAATCAGTTAGAGATAATTTTAATAAAA